GCCACGCAAGATTGTCTAAAACCTTTGTCACTGGACAGACAAATAATCCATGTGAATTTGCATTGAAGGTTTGAACGGGAAAGAACGAGGTATGTTACAAAAGTAAAGTCCACAATTTTTGTATTTCCATGAGGTCCTTTACCTCATTTGGTAGGAAAATAAGACAGTGTTGATCTAAGTAACTAGACAGGCAGGGCAGACTAGACTATGAAAATATTACCGTGAATATTGCTAGATTACTGATTAGGCTTTTGGGTCATTCGAGTTTCTGTCTCTGTTCGGGCATTGTTGAAGCGAAGCAATCAAACCGACAGCATCCTCTTTTTTCATATTACTGGTGTATTTCATATTGCTGTACTAGCCGGGTAAAATGTTCGATGCGAATGTATCATGCTTGCGTACATGTGAGGAATGGATCAAATACTGTGCGACCAAAGGCACTTGATGGCACTATCAACACGGTAGTAGAAGGTGAAGATATGGAAGATGGTAGGGAGAATTCTATGAATATATAAGCCAGAAGAGAAATGAGGGACGAGCTATGCCAACTGTGCTGAGATGATCAGTGATGAGGAGGCTATCCTGTGGTGTGGTAATCCCGTTGCAATAATATGGGCCAACATAAGAATTTCTGTGTGACGTTGTTCACAAAGTCTCATGCCGGAGAAATTTGACTTGCTCTCCAGTGGACCACAAATCTGGTCGGCGAATAGGACATGGAACATCAGATTACCTAGGACAAGAATGATTCAGAAAATATAAATATTTCCTCTTTTGCTAATCTACAGGGGCTAAAACCTGTAACCGAAAAGCAGCCGACTACACCAACGCCAGGTTCCGAAGAAGGAATCTTTCTTCGCCATTCAGGTTTATAGAGACAAAATTCAATCCGCTGAGAAACTATGGATTATTCCGCTTTTTTTGGGCTCCCCCATACAGTATCCACTTCTGTTGAAAATATTTCGCAAGTTTAGTATCACCGATTGCACTGTTTTTCCTACTGGCCCTATCGGTGATCAACGGCTCAACGGCGCATTTTATGTGTGCACGATTTGAAGGGTCATATTAGTGAAAAATAAACAAACATAATACAGACCAAGTCGCTCATATTGACGAATTTCAAACTACCTCTATTGATTCGACTGGGTTTCTCAATCACATATATAAAATGAAAGTAGAAAATCCGAATTCGAAAGCTTTTGTAAAAAATCCAACATAAAATTGTAAACACCAACGGTTAAAAACTGAACTAAACTGAACTGAACCTTTGAATCACACAACGCCCCGCCTACGCTCTTCGTCGCTCTCACATTATTGTGGTACTTCATGAGTTAAGCAAGCTTGTCTGCAACTAATTCCATGTACCCTTTGCAGACAGGCTAAGCAGACTATTTGACACGATCAATATCAGAGCTACGTGAATAACTTTTCTGGAGCGTAAATGCACATTGGAACACTCGTGGTTACATCCCCCCTACAAAACCACTTTCCGTTAAAAGAAGTTGCCAATAACATGGCTACCCGGATGGGTCCAAGTTAAGCGACTGTGGAGTAACCGAATTCACTGAGAATATTGTGTCCTAATGACTAGGCGGCCGCTTGAGTCTTGCCCTTCCAGAACGCAACACTGCAGCTCGAGTGCTTCCAATGAGACAGACAAAGTTAGAACATACAAATCATCCCTTCTGACGTCCCTAATGACAAACACAGTTGAGTATGGATGATTTAGTGGTTATTTTTCACAACAGTACTTTTGTACAGGACGTTGCATCAATTGATGTGTATGCTTCCTGGTATTCAGCCAAGCGTAAGGCCACGAAGTCTCAGCACATTCAAAATCATGTGAGCAAAACTTTCTCATTTTCTCCTTCGTAGAGTCGGAATTTAGCTGACCCGTCTGGTTTCGGAGCAGCCAGTAAGCTAGGGTGGTTTCCATGCAGCTATCTTGCATAAAGTTTGCTAGCTAGGCTCTTTTCGTTGCATTCATGTTTAGCAGTGTTATGAGAATACATGGATGCATACGCATAAGCAAATCCGTTGGGTGGATGGTCGGATGAATGGGCCATTCCTGGTAGCACTTTTCTCAAGCGAACATCTTTTTTCGGCAGCCGTTCTCCCACACTTCTCTAGACATTTATGGGCATATGTATTCATTAGTCTAACCATACGTTCACTAGCTGATACTAAAATATGTGGAAGATTTGACGGTGATCGGGTAGTAAATTCCAAATGAATTCCTAAAGAAAACTACTCACAAGGTTGATGAATACTCTTCGACTGCTCACGACCGGTTTCACCCTTCTTGGGACTCATTAGGTAGACGTAGTTTCAGAGATGTCGTCAACCTTATGTTCTACTTGAAACCAAATTGGACAGATTTTGACAAATGCACTCAGTCGCATTATAAGTTGTTTTTCACGAGTGACTCTAATGAATCTCTTGTTTATGACTAGTTTCCTATATAAAAATATACTGCGATATCTTGAATATCGTGCTAATTGAAACATGATGTGACCTTTGTGCTGCAGATTCAGGTGAAGGATGTCATAAACAAGGGCTTCATTAGAGTCTCTCGTGAAAGCCGAATTGCTATGAAAATGGGTTTTTTTATCCACATGATTTTTCTTCCGGAAACCATCAATCGTAGGCCGCGACTTTTTCAGCACCGGTGTCTCCGCTACTCTCTCATTATTCATACCTCCTTACCATATATTCATCAGTATTATCTCTCCCACTACTCAGGAGTTAATTAGGGTATTCCAGAGTAAGGGCAAGCTAGCGGCATCCTACCTCGGAAATACCTCCACAAATCGACATGCACACGATTAGCCGGCATCACACTGCTGTCAGCAATCTCTAACGCTTCTCGTCTTAGGGTAAGTGGTTTGCACCTATTTCTGATCTCTTGGACCAGCTAAGTAGCAACTGTCTGCAACGTGGGATCCTATTGAGTATTTCATCAAAGTGTGGTAAAAATTATAGAAAAGCCGTGGGCAAGGGGTATATCACTACCAATTTTAGCTGGTGAATTCATTATATCATCGTCCAACTAATAGTTAGGCTTCTATACTGTAAGTTTGCAGAATATCTTGACATGGGTACGTTTTACTGTATGCATAATTGACTATGAAAAAGGCCGAACAACAAGGCGGTTTATGGTTGAAGTCAGTTTTTAACGTAGGAAGATGTGCGTTTTGGTACAGTTCTGCGCACGATATGAACAAACGCCCGCGCATCACCATGTAGAATTTTCAGACTCGAAAATTCAACATATACCTTTTGCTTACTGGCATTTCCACGTCTGAGGGAACGACAGCATACACAATGTATGAAGGACCCGTCCTGGTGTTCATCCGAAAAATAACGTGGGGCGTTAGCTGTGATAACCGTTGGTGGTGTTAAATCATAACACGGACACAACATCCAAAGACGGCAGAACTCCTTAGAGGCACAGGAAATCGGTGTTTCTCTTCGCTAGCCGATTGCTGCCGAAGTCTACTACTGATTGGTGGTTGGTTGAAAAGTCTACTCATAAAGGTGCTGCAACACCACCTAACTGCCTCTGGCAATGGTCCTTCTGGATTCATTTGGCCGAAAGCATGTTGCAGAATATTTTGTTTGATCTGTACTGATCAAAGTCCAAAACTATTTGCGACGAAACCCTTGGAAGCACTTTGCTGCTCATGGAGGTAAATTGTGCTTTTTCACGTATCTGCTATCTCCTCAGTTCAAATGAGCGCTCTCAATTTCGTGTAAATTCAAAAAAAGTCTAAAGCATCCAACTCGTTTGCTCTGTTTAATCAGCCTCCGTGCAATTCCTACACTCGTGCCGCCTTTCATCTGTGAGTCTATCGTTTCTTTGTCTTCACTGTGAAATCTGCGCTCCGTCAGCATTGAGTGATCGGTATGCGCAATTTGAAAGGCAACCGGAATTCCACCCTGAATAACCCAAAAGGTGCTATTTGTAAGAAATCACTGCCGTCCTCATCTAAAAGATAGAACAGAGAAGTACGTGCCGCGTGAAACAAACTTAAGACAAGCAGATTTCCGGAGCATAGGAATCTACTTAGATTTGCTGATAGAATCATCTATATTACCTGCGGTCAGAAAAGCGCCCCAAGGCCAGCCACTCCTCTTTGTAGATGTACACTTAGTCCCCAGTGTCCTGTTGTCTTCTTCTGGCTTCTCGTTGATAACGGAGTGTCGGGTCCAAAGATTCCCCAAGTGTCTGCGGGTAAAAATGTTTTCATCTCAGTTTAAAACCGAATCTCGTGTGTTGAGTTGATCCCATTATTGCCGGTTACATTCTTCTTGGACAGCCTGCAAAGATTCAAACTCTGGCTCCTTTCACAGATTTTTGCATTTTTTTCTCTATGAAAACATGATGATTGGGTCTCGCTGCAGTAGTGGCTGGGCACGTGAAGCATCTAAAACAAACATGAAAAACTGAGCTCTTTATAGACTTTAGGCCACCTAATTTTTCTGTCTGACCCCTGAAGTCTCTGAACAGGAAAGCACTGGGTTTACGTTTATGGAGTTGGCTTTGGAATTATTTGGATCAATTATATGAGGATCTATGAAAAAAGATAAATCCAGAGACTGTTGGGACCCATCTTTGGGTGAACTACTGTTTCGACAATTGGTCAGTTGGGGTAATCGATATGTGGTCTGTGAAGCTGATGGTAAACGAGTTTCTGAAAAATCCCTCAGCAATCTATACCACCTGATCCTAGGTCAGTACATTCTGTGCGGTTTCATATGGTTACGCTGTAATGACCATCAGAGGAATGATTTTGATCTTCTTAAATGTGCTCACTACTAGCAAGAATACCTCATTCGTGAAGAACCGCTAGCCTTTGTCTTTTGGCTAGATGGTACATTGGATCCGTAAAACAAAGTATCCAAGAGGCGTTACCTTGGGAGTTCTGGATGAGCTGGTTTCAGTATGGTGGAGCACTACTTCGCAGTGGCATGACAGGTCAACGTGATTAAATTGAACTAAGGTTTCAATGGTCGCGGCGCGTGTTCATCAAGTGTGACGATTACTTCTGGGATCACCGTCGCTTTTTGACAGAGTCGTTCAAACACAAGCCATTTCCCTCACTCTGTCTTAAAATTATTTTTCGACAGCTTCTTTGATATGGTATAGTTTCATGTTTTAAATCTCTTTCTTGATTAATTTCGCCAAAAATCTTGGCAAGTAACTAACAGCTGTGGTGCTTCACAACGAACTAATATAGAGGGGTTGTCCTATAGGAAGTTTAACTGAATAGCTTTCAATCGCTGATTTTTGCCCCACATGGACGGTAAAAGCCGGATTCAATAGGAATGTTAGCCAAAGAACTTATCCCAAAACTTAATTATGAGGAAGTGCGGATCAAAAAATTGGGTATTACCGTGACTAGCTACCTTTTACGGAAGCTCTCTTGACTTCCTGGTTGAACCGCTGCGTTAGATTTGACCTCTTTTGTTATCTATAGTAGCCTTTACTAGGCTTTGACGGTTAACGCCTCTTGTCAGAAGAGAAACCTATGTCGGCTGAACCTGTTGAATGTAAAATTTCATTTTAGGTCGTGTCTTCCTGTGGTGAGACTCAGGTGAGATTGGTTAAGGACAATAGTTCACACGATGTAAACAACCTTTATTTCGACACCCAAATGGCCCGGTTTATTAAGCACGGAAATTTAGATTTCTGGCAAACGCTCTTAACAGATATTGATATTAAAGCAGTGATCTCAACAACTACACAGGAATTTTCCAGTCAAAATACCACAACCCCATGGTCGCGAACCATACCACTTCACCAAACCCAAGTTCGTTTCTCACAGAGTCATGGAAACGTACTGTAGGATCCGGGAGGCCAAGCATGTAACGGGATGATTTGAGCTATCGCACTATACTCAATTCGCATTCGGTAGGCAGCAGGAACAGACAGACAAGGGCGGCAGATGATTTATTGGGAACTGGCTGTATGGAAACTGGGGTAAAACATATCATGATTTAATCAGGACGTGTAATCTACATTAGCGCCATCCGCATGAGTAGAAAATGGCAATGAGTCAGCAGAGCTTTGGATAATGTCTGACAGTGTAAAGAATCCGCATACTGAGAGAATGGCACCAAAGACAGTCAGCATTTTCGATAGGTAACGGAATATGTCTGGAAAACGGGTGTCGGTTGAGTTTGGCACAAAGTAAATATACTTGCATTCTTTAGTGGACAGCATGACGAAGAAGTGCATGCCAAATTTCGAATATTTTAAGACAAAATTTCAACATTCACTGCCAGTTTAAATGCAATGCGAACGCAAAAAACCTAGACCATTTGCCATATTGAACGGGCGTATTGGATAGCTAACTTATTCAATTGGTAATTTTCGGAATGGTATTTTTATTTGTACTGCAAGTTAATTCATGAACAAATGGGATTTGACCACGCTTGAACAGAAGATTTATCGAAATAACAGGACCATTATTGAGACAACGAAATGTTGATTTTTCACTGCAATAGGTTGTCATATCCTGGGCTTTAATACACCTAGTACTTTTTCTTTACCGTGAAGTTCAGAGAAGCCGTGAACCGTGGAATAGGTGGCGAACTAAATCTGATGCACATATGTAGACCCCTCAATTTGTTTCCAGCGTTGAAGGTGTTACGATAGTCATTCGCATATAGGACCTCTAATCCCTCAGGTGGATGCGTGTAAGATTCTTATGGATCGTTAATTGCTTGATGTCAGTTGATTATGGTAATGGAAACCATTATATCATTTCAAATTCTTGGTGACAAGGATTGATGTGCAGCTGAACAGACTTCTGATGGTCCCTGGATATAAGTGTAGCAAAACTGTTACTATTCATGAGGAAATGCTGAGTTGGAGATATGAGGTTGTTGATTTTCCGATCTACTGATGGGCACTTTGTAGGTCCAGTGGTATTGAACAGTCCACTCTCAAAAGAACAACACCTGAAATTTTACCCACCAGTTTTCTAGCGGATTTCAGTTCTCCTAAGGTTATTGGCCAAAGGATTCTCGATGAGTGTGTTCAAGATTGATTCTGCGACGAGAAACTTCATGAGACTATATCCAACAACAGGCGCCTTCAAGGCATCCGTAGCGGCGTTGCAACCCATGTAGATGGCGTCACTACATTTAAACGTGAGGGTTAAAAATAATCTTTTAGCTTTTTGGCCTTCCTTCAGCGATCCTCGATCTGCTTGATAAGCCGAGTTATTTTGTTTTCTCACTCGAACCGATTCCCATGAGTAGTTCCTGTGCGGAATACAATTCAACCAAACATCACTCACTATTGTCAGAAAAACTTTTTCATTGTAAACTGATCTTTGCGGAAATACAAAGTTGTTCATTGCCCCTTCAACAGTTATGAAACTGGCAAGGGGTTGAGGTATGCATACTTGTTTGAGGTCGGTCTTACTCACAAACTATAAACTAA